GATTATCTCTCCGACCATAAGATTTTCATCTCTACTTTCACTCAATCTGGAGTGGTCAGTTCCTTGTATGCCTTCCCTGCTCCTTCTGCTCTACTCGACTCTTTATGATTTGCTTATGCTCGGCCGATTGGATATGCGATTTCCACGGTTCCTTTCGATTTTGACTGCTCTCCGATACGCTAAGCTTCGACTGCTGCCCCGTGGCCATGACGCGATCGTCTCCGCCGCCGCCGAGGTTGGTAGTGGTAGTGGTCGCCATCTGGAAGTGAGCGGCGCTGGGGCCGGTCTTGTTCACCTCTTCCTCTGGAATATTAGGGTTTGTGAGGGAGGGAATAAAAGGGAGAATATCTGGCGGGTGAGTAATCGGAAGGAGGGGGAGAGAACTCGAAGGAGGAGGGATCAGAATCGCGGTGGCGTAGATGGTTGAGGTCATCTATTAGGTTTTATTTTTATTTTTTAATAGTTGTAAAATGAGGTGGAAATTGTAAATATATAAATTTTATTATTTTAATATTTTTAATGGCCACGTCACTCATTTAACGGTCAACTATAATAATTGACTGCCACATCATCAAAAACTAACGGAGACTAACGGAGAGTGACCAAACTTGAACTATTAAACTAATCTTAGTGACCATGAATGAAATTAAATATTTGCAGTGACCAAACATGAACATTTTTAGTAAATCCAGTGACCATCCTTGTAATTAACCTCTAAGTAAAATAATGTGATTTTAGTAAATTTGATTGATAAGAAAATTTGTCTTTTTGAAATAATTGGATGAAAATGAAATGCATGTAATATTTTCGTTGGAGGTAATGTTAATGAGTGAGATAGGGGGCAAAGGTTTCTGTACTTCCTTCCAAATTACATTTTACTCACCTGTCTTCATTTAAGAAGGCAACCTGTTTTTATTTGACCAAAATATATAAAGAATGAGAAGTCCGGAAAGCAAGACTATGCAAAATGATAGCAGTAAGATAAACATGCTTGACAAGCAAACATAAAGTACTTTTTTGAAATTCATGTATCACGCCGATTATTTTTTTTAAGTAACTCTTTAGGGTTGTTAAGAGCACTTGCTAAAACCTCTACATGAGTAATTAATACAACACACAAATTTAGGGGTATTAGCAATATGACGGACATAATTTTAACTTATATTATGGCCGTTGTGGAGCTAGTTTTTGCCACGTAGGACAACGAAAGTTCCACAATTTTCCATGTCATTTTTTCAGTTTTAACATTTTAGGTTATTAGTTACATTAAAATAAAACTAAATAAATATGCATATTAATCAACATCACCAAGATTTGAACCTATGACCTATGAGGTCAAACTATCATCATTTCAAATGTTCAACCACTAGGATAAAGTAGATTTGATGCTATTAACCACAACAAAACATGTATATCAATCATCATAACTATGATTTAATCATGCAATCTAGAAGCTCAAACTATAATCATTTCAATTTTTTAACCAATAGAATAAAATATCTTTCATGCAATTAATCACAACTATTTTTTGACCAATAGAATAGCTATCACGGTTACAATTGTGTAATCTATTTTTTATCATTGATAAGAAAATCATTAACATCTACAAATATATTATTTTTAGTTTATAATATATTTCATAATTGTTTATAATTTCTTAAAAATAATTAAAAAATCTGAAAAACATAAATTTATACCAACTATAAACTTTTACATAATTTGACATGTGATTTTATTTTAAAATTGAAATATGAAAAGTAAAGTATAATCTTCTTTCGTCTTCTAGAACACAAAGAATTTAACATTTTGTTTGTACGAACTACTATAAATATGTGAACCAAAATAGTTATGTTGCAATTTGTTAGAAAATACTTACTATAAATATATGAAATATATCAACATAGTTCATTCATATGCTACAGTGATATATACACAAAATTTCATGTGTTTAAGAATATCACTAGACACCAATGGTCACCAAAGTTTTTTGTATATTTTTCAAAACCGAATTATGGTCATATGGTTTAAATATGTTTGTGACCAATTGGTGAAAGAAGTTATAAAAAAAGTAATGTACATATACATAATGCATTTGTCATTTTTAGGATTGAATTTGACATTTCTTGCATATTAAAATATCATTATCTTTTCTTTTATGCTATTCCCACTTCTTTCTCTTTTCATTTTTCGTACGTCATTAAATATTCTTCCATGCGCAATTATAAAACACATTAAACACATTGTCTTTACTTTTTCCTAATGTAATTATAATTCCTTTCTTTTCTCTTTTTATTGTTTGAAAAAAGTTCCTTTCTTTTTCCTACATGAGTGTAGATGTGCAACTTTGAGTCATATTCAGATGAATAACACATAAGTCAACCAAGATTTGTAAACGAATCTTAAACTATTGGATATATGATGGTTGATATGTAAATAACTATTTTAATCCTTACTTAATGTGACATCCTAATACATATATTACTATTACTATTTTTGGTAACCGATGATACTCGCCGGATAACCTTACTCATAAGATAATGATTTATATCTTTTCCGTTACCTTTAAGAGTATAGTTCAAAATGACTTATTGTCCTTCTTATTGACCATGGCAAAACATGGAGTATTCAGTTTGCCGTCACCCACTTCTCAGGCCTTACTTGCTTAACTTAACTGTCAAGATACATCCGATATGATATATCTTATTCAGTTAAATAGACATCCATTAATCACCACATGCCATATCCCATTCATCATCTCAAACTCAAAGAATGCATACATCACAACATAAGGACCATCACCCAGTCTCTTGATAACTCACTGTTTAACATGTATGCATCAAATATCACATCATACTGGCATTACCATGTAACCCCTGTCCCAACATAGCTAAACATCATATCATCCAATCTTAAATCATTGTATAAAACACCATAGAAACCCATCATCATCGACATGCACATTTCATATATCACATCATAGAAACTCATCACTTAACCACATCATAAGTAATATGTATACAATGATTCAATCACATGCATGGTTAGGTTCATTGCATTTTACATCTTAATTTGCCAAGTCATACACTCCTCGGGTAGTATAGTAGATGACATGCATACCACCACAGATCGTACCTAGACTGGTGTCCTATAAATCCATTGCGGATCATACCCTAACCGATGTCATGTATACTAGGGTGGAACATACCGGACCGGTGTCCTGTAAAACCAACGCAGGATCATATCATGACGATGTCTTGTAAATTCAGTTACTATATTGACTGCACAACATAGCACCTTTATGTTTGTATTAAGTTATCACACAATTCTAGTTACATGTAGTCACATATTAAATATTGGAGGATAATGTGAAGTGAAGACAAAGTGTCTCCATAACTAACATCTGCTTTGATATAATTCGTACAATGTTGAAGGTAAGAAGCATAGCAGAATAGTTTGGTTGTACATTGATATAATGGTGGAAAATGCTAGCATAAACTCGAGGTGTAATATGCACCTTCATTCATACCTATTAGTTGTATGTTAATATATTTTGACAAATAAGAATCGGTGGTTACTATTTTTCATTAAATGAATCGTACGGTTTGGATTAGAGAATTAAAGACTGTGTTTCACCTATTAGAGAATATGGTATAACATCATGTGCCAAACTCCGTTAATTCATGGTCTAAATACCAACTCTATAGGAGTACGGTAAGGTGGCGTATACGAGCTTAAACCATGTACAACTTATGAAGTTGACAATTATTGGTCAATCAAAGATCTGATGGTCATGAATAATATTTTCCAAGCAGTGATGAAGTTACAGCATTTTTTGACTTTATTGTTGATCATCATTAAAACCTAGAGTACAATCATAAATAAATATGAAAAGTAGGAATCTGATACCATTGAAAAAAATGACAAATAATAGAAGGAAAAGTACAAACAATTGAACTCGCCGCCCATCGGGCGGGCACAAAATTAGTTTTTTTTTAATAAGGGTGACATAGGTTGATTTTTATTTTTAGATGTTATAAATAGATTTGAACTTGAGATCTATCTTAGGTTCAAGATTAGTGGTATAACCACTAGACCAAATCCCTATTCGCTATAATAGCGAATATTGAACCTTGAGAATAGTTGCAAGACTATAAACCTTAAGATTTCCGAACAAATTCATATATTGAATCAATAGTTTGGATGGGGATTGGAAAATATGAGATTTTGGTTCAAATTCCCTCATTTGTGAGATTTTTGTACAAAATATGAGATTGAAAAATACACGATTTAGTGTGGGGTTTCAAATTCCAAAAAAAAAAAAAGACGTTGGATTTTGATCAAAATACCAATTTCCACATTCTTTTTTAACAAGTCAAAACATAAAACTTTTAACCAGATATATGTAGGATCTAAACTCAAATCGCACCTTCAAACAACACTCAGACTATTTTCCTGGTCTGATAACTTCGTGATATTTTTCTTTCCTTTGTCCTTCATTTTATATTATATTTTATATTTATAGCTGTGCTTCTCCTTTTATATTGAGTTGCATTAGAGACTATCCATAAAAGAGTTCATAAAAAATTCAGCCCCCTAACATAAATAGCTAATGCAACGAATTTATCGCAACTCTTCATGCTTAACAGTTGCTGATCATCATTCATTAAAAATGCATATTTACGATGATAATCACAATACAAATTGGATCAACTCCAAATTAAAAATTAAGACCTTAATTAATTTTAGCAACAAAATTCCAGAAAGATACCTCCACTTGTCCTCCGCCTATTTGATAGATAATAAACAATTGTTGACATTGGCAATCCAATGATCCATCAAATTAGTTTTAAAACACAATTTCACTCCGTGACATAAATCAAGAACTGAAAACGTTAAACAACATCATTTCAGTGATTAAAATATCTACAACACAAAAAGAAAAAGAAAAAGTGAAGTAAATGGGAAAAAATATTAAGGAAAATCCCAAAAGAGAAAAGCATCATAAATATTTTCTTTCCCATTCACTTTGGGGGGAGTCTGCGACCTGGCAGCTCTGCATACTCTCTTCTCCTTCCTCTCTGCAACCCTCCATTCCATTCCCTCTCCTCTTTCTCTCTCTAAACTCTTCCTAAATTCTGTCCCACCATTTTCCCAATCCAATTTCCCCCTGATTAGCCTTCCCTTTCTGGGCCTTGTAGCTGCGGGGGATTGAAAGATTGATCCCAACATTGTAACCCCAATGCCTAATTCTCCTCTCCCCCATTCCTCCTCAATGATTAATTCGATTGATTGATGCAAAATCTCAATCGCGTTCTCTGTTCCCCGCATCCCCCAAATCCGAATCCGGTGGAAGAAGGAAACCCATCTGGCGGATTGAAAAGAAATTCCCAAATCCATACAAGCTGAGGCGAATCGGGAGCAATCATTTGGGAATGACGATGAAAGGGAACCAGAAAGATCCGGAGAAGATCATCTGGGATCAGATGCGGAACCCAAACTCCATCGCCGCTCCCGGTTCCCCAGCTCGGATCCTCCCCAAGCTCATGGTATGGCTTCTCCTCTTCGTCACCGTCACCTACGTTTTCTACACCCTCAAGCTCCTCTCCACTTCCCAAGCCTGCGACGACGACCCCTTCTCCCACCACCACCGCCTCTCCCACGTTTCCCTCAGCGGCAACCACTCCTCCTCCGACGATGCGGGCACGGGAATCGCTCTCCCGCGGCGGGAGATCGAGGAGGTGCCGGAGAAGCAGGGGACGGGTCTTCAGCACGTGGTGTTCGGCATCGCGGCGTCGGCGAAGCTCTGGGAGAAGAGGAAGGAGTACATCAAGATTTGGTACAAGGCCGACAGAATGAGAGGGGTCGTTTGGCTGGACGAGGAGGTGAAAACCAAGGAGGAGGACGAAGGGGTCCTGCCGCCGATCAAAATCTCCGGGGACACCTCGAAGTTCGTGTACAGGAACAAGCAGGGCCACCGGTCCGCGATTCGGATCTCGCGGATCGTCTCCGAGACGCTCCGCCTCGGGATGGAGGACGTGCGGTGGTTCGTGATGGGCGACGACGACACCGTTTTCGTCACCGAGAACCTGATCCGGATCTTGCGCAAGTACGACCACACCCAGTACTACTACATCGGCAGCTTATCGGAATCCCACCTGCAGAACATCTATTTCTCCTACGGGATGGCCTACGGCGGCGGCGGGTTCGCCATCAGCTACCCGCTCGCCAAAGCCCTCGAGAAGATTCAGGACCGGTGTATTCAAAGGTACCCGGGATTGTACGGCTCCGACGACAGAATGCAGGCATGTATGGCGGAGCTCGGCGTTCCCCTAACCAAAGAAGTCGGGTTCCACCAGGTTCGTTAACTTTTTTTTACCAATTCCAGTTCCAATTTTGAACTCCGCGGCGGAAGTTCTTCCGCCGCCGCCGTTTTGGCCGCCGGCATTGCATTTAATTCGAGCTTTGTACGAGTTCCCCACTTCCCCAGTTGAGATAAATGATCCGAGTTAGGTTTATCTAGTTTGATTTGATACAAATTTCTCCTCGATAACCGAAAATCGTCCTTTATCCCGGTTTCGGGCAATTTCCTGCCGGGTTCCGGTTGGTTTTCGTGGCGGTGACTCGTTCTGAGTCTGACTCGTGGCTTGGGAAGCGAGTCACGAGCTCAACCCCGTCCCGTCCGTATCTGACGCCCGTTCCCGATCTCCGGAACAGGGCCCACGTGTACACTTCTGTTTCTGACCTTTGCTCCGTCCACGCTACACCATCCGATTAAATTTCTGGTCCCCTCTACTCGCGCTTTCCTCACGCGTGCACCCACCTCCCCCCAAATTGAGAAAAAACCTTCAAATTCGCTATGGTTGGACCGGATGCTGAATCGAAAATGTTAGTGGTTGAGGGTCTAGTAGTTAATTGTTATTGTTGGTTAATTGTTGATAGAATCGTTCATGATATATAACATATACTGATTTAATAATGAAGATATCAGTGAACATAAACCATTTCAAATTCATATCATCACTAAAATATCTAACAAATCATTCATGCGATCTCACAAAAGAAATCATAATTTCTTTTAGTTCAAGTTAAAAATCACAGTGGTAGTCGGTAGTGGACCGCCTAAAGTAGACAACAAGGTTGAAAAATAAGAAGAGTAATATGAAATAAAACTAATAAATTTAGTTTGATGGTCTTAGTTTACATTAAAGTAATTTTTTTAAACAAATTTGTGTTTAAAATAGTAACCAATGATCAGTTAAACTGTGGTGAATCATCTGATTTTATATTAAAGTGTGAAAAACAGTATGGTCCATCAGTAACTAGCACAGACGTTGATCCGGTTTGATTCTTATAACAATGTGGTAAACTGATTTTTCACCGTCCCAAAGACGGTGTCGCTTAACGAACCAATGTCTGATTTTCTTCTCTTTTGCAGTATGATGTGTACGGCAATCTGTTCGGCCTCTTAGCATCACACCCGGTGGCGCCGTTAGTCTCACTGCACCACCTCGACGTGGTGGAGCCAATCTTCCCGAACGTGACGCGTGTTGAGGCCCTACAGCGCCTTGCGGTGCCGATGAAGATGGACTCGGCAGGGCTGATTCAGCAGTCTATCTGCTACGACAAGTCACGGAGCTGGACTGTCTCGGTGTCCTGGGGTTTCGCGGTGCAAATCTTCAGGGGAGTTTTCTCCCCACGAGAGGTCGAAATGCCTTCCAGAACGTTCCTCAATTGGTACAAGAGGGCCGACTACACGGCCTACGCGTTCAACACCCGCCCCGTCGCCAGGAACCCTTGCCAGAAGCCGTTCGTGTTTTACCTCTCCAAGGCAAGGTCGATGACCTCGCTGAACACGACGGTGAGCGAGTATATACGGCATCGTGTCCCCCACCCTAATTGCAAGTGGAAGATGGCTGATCCAAGCAGTATAAACATGGCGGTGGTGTACAAGAGGCCCGATCCTCAGTTGTGGAGCAGGGTAAGTGTGTCTGTCAATTAAGTATTTGATTGATGTTATTGGTTTTTTTATTTATTGATGTTATTGGTTGCATTCGATTTCTTGCTGTGGAAGTTAATTGCTCTGTTTTTTGTGGGGCAGTCTCCAAGAAGGAACTGTTGCAGGGTAATGAGCACAAAGAAGAAAGGAACGATTACTATCGACGTCGGGATGTGTAGGGATGGTGAGATCAGTGAGATATAGCAGAAGTACTCGTGACTGGGTTTGAACTGAACTCCTGGGGAAGAAGCTGCTGCCTGCCACTCTTCCTTCTCCTAGTATGATGTTTCTTATTCGTCCATTGAAAGTTCAGTGTTAGTTCATTAATTTATTGATGAGGGCGCCCATAATTTTTGTAATTGTCGATCCAAGGTAGGCTACTCAGTGCTCAATTTAGAGACTAGAGAGAAGAAAAATGGCCAAAAAAGGAAGTGTTGATTAGAAGAAATTGATGTATAAAGTCGTAGTTTTATGTCTTAATTCATAAAATTTTGTCAATCCAGAAAATGAGATGGGTAAAATGAAAAGGTATCTTCTTCAGATTGCACATGTTTGATTTCAGATATCTAAATATGAGTATACAGGTACCTGTGATTATTAAGTTTGGCCTGCCATACTCGGAAAACGGACATGGCAGGATAAGATATTTTGGGTCTGGTTATCAAATGGCCACTGAAATAAGAAAAGAGTTGATTGACGGTCAATCCGACCAGTCTCTTAGGATTCCCAACGGTTGGGTTTATGCATTGTCGGCTAAAACTACCAGGAAACTGGATTTCGATCAGAGTGAGAAAAAATAACCCAGAGGAAATTGATAGCTTACCTAACAGATTGAGTAAGACAATAAGTATTCACGGAGGTGACGGTGGTGGTTGAAGGAAGACTTGAAGGTTGTAACTTGTACGACGAGGCCCAGCTGGAAGGAACAGTGAAGAAGAAGAAGCCAGGCACGGGCAGGCCGCCAATTGGCTTCCCATCCATGTCAGGTCACGCTCCCCTTGTCGAGGATTGCGATCAGTTTTGCGTTCGCCCTGCGCCTGAAAGACAGCAGCATCGGCGCGCGGTCTCCGGCTATTTGAGATGTTGCGCTGCTGTTCTTCACTCATGACCAAGTGATAAGCTTCTTCTAAGCTAGGAGTAGGTTTCGTGGCAAGAATCTGTGTTTTAACGGTACTAAAAGCGTCATCCAGCCCCATCAAAAAATCAAATAGACGCTCACCTTCCTTAGCTTCTCGCTGACGACGTTTAACATCACAGGTGCATCCACCACATGTGCACTCAAGAGATGGAGCTAAGGAGCTGATCTCGTCCCATAAACCTCCTAGCTTAGTATAAAAGGAGGATACAATAGTCTTCTCTTGCTGCAACAAATTTATCATGCGCTTCAACTCGTACATACGAGCAGCGCTGTCATGCCCAAATCGCGATTGCGAATCGAGCCAAATATCACGCGACGTTTTGGCAAAACGCACGCTACTGCGAACATTCTTGGTCATGGCTGTCTTAAGCCAGCCCTTGACCATCGCATCACATTGCTTCCAGATATCATACTCCTCTCCCCCTGAAGTCGGCGCCATGATGGTCCCATAACAAAGCCAACTTGTTTTTGGCTATAAGAGAATCCGTTATATCCCCAACCCATTCTCCATAATTAATTTCGGTGAGAAGTTCTCCAACAAAAAGTTGGCTAGGATTGTCGGACTGGTGGATGGTGAACGGAGAAGGACGAGCAGCCGGCGCGCCACTGTGAGTAACCATTGCCGCCGCTGGTGGTGCTAAAAGCTGAACCCGCAGGAGTCTTCTCTCCTTCGCCAGCTATGATGAACAAACAAGGTGTGAATCGATCATAGCTCTGATACCATGTAAAATTCCACGAGATCGATCAAAGAATAAACGCACAAGACAAGATTTACATGGTTTTCCTGTTCATGAATGAACGAGACTAGTCCACGGAGAGCGTGAGTTCTCGGCTGATATTTTATTATGATTAGGTTTTTCTTCTCTTTTCTTGGAGCATCAGACGTGAGCCATTCTCCTTTTATACAAAATCACAGTCGAACCCTATCAACACTAAACACGGGTTGACTAATTACATTAAGATCCCAATCTTAATAAAACATGTCATTAAGTATAGGGATCACAACCTGAGTTCTCAGCTGATATTTTATTATGATTAGGGTTTTTCTTCTCTCTTCTTGGAGCAAGCCGAACCCTATCAACACTAAACACGGGTTGGTTAATTACATTAAGATCCCAATCTTAATAAAACATGTCATTAAGTATAGGGATCACAACGTGAGTTCTCGGCTGATATTTTATTATGATTAGGGTTTTTCTTCCCTTTTCTTGGAGTAGCAGACGTGAGCCATGCTCTCCTTTTATACAAAACCCCAGCCAAACCCTATCAACACTAAACACGGGTTGGCTAATTACATTAAGATCCCAATCTTAATAAAACATGTCATTAAGTATAGGGATCACAACATATGGATCTGGTTAAGAAATGAGGCAGCAACCACAAGCAAGAATAATGCATAAGACGCACGATTTATACGTGGAAAATTCAAATCGAGAAAAACGACGGGACCTTTGTCCAAGCCACAACTCCACTAGACTTTGGTGGGATTACAAGTTCTCTCTATACTAGATAGAGTTTTACAAATACCTTAAGAATAGACTTCTTGGATCAACAATCAACAACAATAGCTCTCACCAACACGGTGGATAACAAAAACAAGATCAAGACCAAAAGAGGTTTAGAAGTACCCAAAACAGATTCGTACACCTTCTGCCCAGCAGCGATTACCGACGAACTAGAGATCAGAACGACGATTTCTCCGGTCAGAATAAAGCCTAGATAATTCCTAACCCTCTGTCTAAATTTCAGAACGATCCAACAATTCAATTTTCCAGAATGCTCACTTGAACAGGCTGCCCTGCTGCAGAAACGAAAATTGCAACTCTTTGTTTCTCACTTCTCTCTTTTCCTTATCTCTTCTCTTTCTGATTCTCTATAAAAAAAGAAAGGTTGTCTCCTCTTTTTTTTTTACCAGACAACAACTCTCTCTATTTTTAATAATAGAGGATCTTCTAGAAACCAACCAAAACTCAAACTCAAATCGGTTAGTCCAACCACCATATGAGTTGTACCAACCCAACATATCTCTACCTCCAGCTCATATGTGGGGTAATACCAAACCTGCCTCATCTCGACAGAAGATATATTTCCCACTTGGTAGAGATTTAGTTATCATGTCCGAACCATTGTCATATGTATACACTTTGTTGAGCACCAACAACTTCTCTTCCAAAACATCACGAATCCAATGATATCGAACATCTATGTGTTTCGACCTTGAGTGGAAAGTATGATTCTTCCAAAGATGAATTGCACTTTGACTATCACAATAGAGAACATACCTCCCTTGCTTGATGCCCAACTCTTGAAGAAACTTCTTCAACCATAGCATCTCTTTGCAAGCTTCCGTCACGGATATGTACTCCGCTTCTGTTGTTGATAATGCAACACATTTTTGTAGTTTAGATTGCCATAAAAATGCAACACCCGCAAAACACATCATGTATCCAAAAGTCGACTTTCTACAGTACACATCACCTGCCATGTTAGCATCGATATATCCATCAAGTGTGGTATTGCCATTACCAAAGCATAGACACACTCTAGAAGTACCTCTCAAGTAGCAACGAATCCACTTCACTGCTTGATGACTTGATATATACACATGTTTTTGTCCACCATTCCTCTACCGTTTGAGTCTCATCTCTCGTGTTTTAGGCCGATTTCACGCTAGGTTGTTCGTGTTTGTGACATTTTTGGTCCTAGTACGTGAAGAAAGGTTCGGGCACGAGTTTGGGGTCGATTGGATGAAGTTGGAACGATTGACAGGAAGCTGGGAAACCACACGGCCAGACCTAAAAACCACACGGCCGTGTGACGTGGCCGTGTGGAACCGCTTTGCGCGGGCAAACCACACTATCCGGGTAAAGGGTCCATTGTGGCCGTGTGGAAATCCCAGAGAGCTCACACGGGCAGGCTGAGATTTTACACGGCCGTGCGGTTCTGGCCGTGTAGCGTGCATGAAGGCACATAATTGAAACGCGGCATTTTATACCTCCACACGGGCAGCTGGAAATTCTACACGGCCGTGCAGTCGGGGAATTATGGGTTTTAACCCAATTTCAGGTCTTTTGAAGGGGGAATCAATTTTCAGAGCTAAAAACAGAGTCTTAGATAGAGAAAGTGCGAAGAACACACCCTATAGGTGATTTTGGAGCTGGGTTTCATCAATCAAGCTTGGATTTCATCCTTGGAGTGAAGATTATCATCCTAGAGCAGATTCTTCCCATCATGATGAGTATGGTTTCTTTGTATTCTCTTTCCCTCTCTCTCTCTATGGAGTAGAACCCTCTCTCACTTGGGTATGAAGAACCCTAGTTCTATGTGTTAGGGATATCGATTGTAATGACATATGGATTGTGATACTGCTTGATTAAATCGATTGAAGTGTTTTGATTGAGTCAATTGAAGCCTGATCATCTTTTATTGATTTCTGATTAGGTTGTTAGAGCTCCTTCAATCGGTAGTAGTGAATCGATTATAGGAGAGTTAGTCGATTCACTACTTTGTACTGGAATCCAATTCTAGTAGTGGATTTTTGTGTTAACTGCCTCAAAGTTCTATCCCGGTGAAGACTAGTCGTCTGCCGAGTAGTCTGTCTAAGAGGGCTTGGTCACCTTAAGAGATTCCAAGCTACTGTCGGATCTTTCGCATTTTAATCAATAGTAAATCAACCAAAGGTAATTACAACTTTGACCTAACTAAGGAGCTATGGGGACTCATTCCCGAGTCACTCTTCCCCTACTTAAGAACTTTGAACCATTTCCTGCTTTCTTACTGCTTTAGCTTAAAATCACATTCAATCAACTTAGTATGCTAGATAATAGATAATCACGGAATAGGAAGTAGATCTAGACCCCCGGGTTGATAAATAGAACTTGCCACTATTCTGCTTTTCCGGACTGCGATTACACTTGGTCGCAGTTTGGTGTTGTGTTTTAACGTGTCGACTGGCTGCGGAGGAGGCTCTAGCACGCTGCAGATCAACCAGGAGGAAGACATGGGTGAGCCTCAAAACAATGATGTGGTTGTCCCCGATGAGCACACCATGGGATATTACTGGACCGCCAGAGCCGCGGACATGAGGTCGCCCATCCAGCACCCTCAAGTTCCACCCAATAACTTTGAGGTGAGCACATCTGTTATCACCATGCTGCGCGGCTCGGTGGTATTCCATGGAAAAGAGGGGGAGTGCCCCAGATCGCATCTGCGGCGATTCCACGAGCTCATCGATGGGATCAAGATAAATGGGGTCTCAGCCAATGCCATCCAGCTAAGGTACTTCCCATTCACTCTGGAGGGGCAAGCCAAGGAGTGGCTGGACACTCGACCTCCAGGATCGATCACCACGTTCGCCAACCTGGCGGACAAGTTCCTCACCCGCTATCATCCTCCGTCCAAGACGGCGGACCTGCAGAAGCAGATCACCCACTTTGTTTAGGAGGAAGAT